CATGATCTGACCAGGATACCATTGGGATCAGACAGAGAACACATGATCTGGTACCAGGATACCATTGGGATCAGACAGAGAACACATGATCTGACCAGGATACCATTGGGATAAGACAGAGAACACATGATCTGGTACCAGGATACCATTGGGATCAGACAGAGAACACATGATCTGACCAGGATACCATTGGGATCAGACTGAACACATGATCTGGTACAGGGATACCATTAACAGAGCTGTGTTGATAGTTAAGCCATGGTGTATCTCAGACTGTCTGTCGTCTGTGGATATTGATGGGGTAATAACAATGAAGAAAACTAGAGAAGTGAGCTCTGGTCTCTCATCTATAGCTCCCATGATGCCTTTAAATTGATCACCTCCTATTATTACAAATTTCTAGGGTCATCTGACACTGAACCAAATACCTTGTAAACATCAGTAGAGGTCTATCAGTTCCATATTTCAGACAAGACACATTCAAGTCATCCTACGCTGAGAAACAGAAGCCGGATCTTTTACAGTACGAGACAATTGTCTCGGTTTGATATTTTCATTTCACGTTTGAAGTGTAGGCTATCTGGCTCCTACATTTTTATACCATCACTAAATACTACTGAAGGGTAGGCGGATGGGTGTGTGGGTATTTAGTAATCACTTTGTACATCTGTGTGTCCATTGGTGCAAAGCTTGTATGTCATGAATCCCATGCAGAACTAGTTCATTTCTGTAGCTTAGCATCATAAGATGAAGTTTAATGTCTGATTTGATTTTGGTTGTAATTGGTCAAAGTTATAGGTCAATGGTCACCCTTGACCATTTTTGAAATTTTGAAAGATTGTATACAAGATATTTTGTGAACAGATTTAGTTTAAGCTCTTACCTGTGGTGGTTTGTGTTTCTCAGGAAGCTGAGAAAGAAAAATGGATTGATCTGTGTTGATATGGTTGTGTGCTTGAGCAAGACTCTTTACCCTAATGGTTGTAGATAACATGTGATGGGCCTCCTGTTTGTTGTTCAGTGAGGTAGCCACCAGCTACTTCAAGGACACTCCACCTCAAAAGATCCAGACTATATTCCCAGCAAATGAGTTGTTTACATTCACAGCCTAGCGTGACAAGACCTCAGTCAAGTTTTATGATATACAGTTCTTTGAGACTGTCCTTGGCAGTACTGACATGAACTTACACGAGTACTTGTGACAAATGATAGATTCATTATTTCCATATTAACAACAGATTTAATTGTAATATAATGACTAAATAACATGTATTTGGTGATTATCATTACATCAGAATTCCTTAGCTGTACAGATATTCTACGACTGTTCATGTGTAACCTGATGCCCTGGCTTTTCTTACATAATTGAGTAGTGGTTATGATAATAACAACAGAAAAAAGTCTGTGGTGTGAATTCTGAAATAACTTACATAATTAGAACAGTGGTTATGATAATAACAGAAAAAATCTATATTGTAAATTCTGTTACGAGTTGTAACAATGCAAAAGTTATAAATGTATTGTTAGTTGCTTTACGAAAAACAGCTTTTGAGAATTAAAACCAGACTTTTAAAGTTAATGATGTTAATGAAACCTGGCCAGGTATAATCTGTCAAGGCATAACAGTGGCCTTTGAGTCAGGTACAGCAGGGAAGCTGGAGATGTCATCAGTATTTAGCAAGTGCTAATTGGTTTGGAAGCTGTGTGGAACTGTCCTTGTACCCTGTGAAGAAATGTGATTGATACTAATCTTTGTCTGGTATTTTTGGTGCAAATTTCATTGTGTTCTGTGTGACACCAGACAGGACGTGGTGACAGGCTGTGATAGACAGGAAATTATATCATACATTCATTTTTATGAATGAAAAAAAGAATCTTCCATTTGTCCTCAGTCATAAATTGTCGGGCAATTATAGACCCTGAAAACTACATGACAGATGTAATTGGCTCTGTTTTAAGTGATTCTGTTAAATAGTTCTGTGAAGGAATTGCTGACTAATATATCGTCATAATGGTCGTAATGTTCTTGTATAATTCTTACTTATATACAGTCCTATATTAACTTATTAACAGTCCTATATTTACTTATATACAGTCCTATATTAACTTATTAACAGTCCTATATTTACTTATATACAGTCCTATATTTACTTATTAACAGTCCTATATTTATTTATATACAGTCCTATATTAACAGTCCTATATTTACTTATATACAGTCCTATATTAACAGTCCTATATTTACTTATATACAGTCCTATATTAACTTATTAACAGTCCTATATTTACTTATATACAGTCCTATATTAACTTATTAACAGTCCTATATTTACTTATATACAGTCCTATATTAACAGTCCTATATTTACTTATATACAGTCCTATATTAACTTATTAACAGTCCTATATTAACTTATTAACAGTCCTATATTTACTTATATACAGTCCTATATTAACTTATTACAGTCCTATATTAACTTATTAACAGTCCTATATTAACTTATTAACAGTCCTATATTTACTTATATACAGTCCTATATTAACTTATTAACAGTCCTATATTTACTTATATACAGTCCTATATTAATTTATTAACAGTCCTATATTTACTTATATACAGTCCTATATTTACTTATATACAGTCCATATTCACTAATATAGACTTCTATATGAAGTCTTGACTGTTTGACTAAGAATTTGACTATGTGATGTTATACCAGAAAAAGAATTAAAAACTTTCATAATATTTTTTAGATTAATCAGAAAAACAAAATGGCTTGTTATTTCTTAAATTTTTTCAAATTCATTCTCAAATTTTACATGTAGGCTCCCTTTGGTCTCTAGCTTTGTATTTTCCATATTTTAACGAAATATAAAATCAAAGTGGAGGACAGACAGCCATCTTTGATTTTGACAGTAAAAGATTTTTGTCAATATTTCATGAGAAGTTCTGGATGGATCATTTCAAATTTTATATATAGATTTACAATTATGTAATTAATTGGAAAGAAATGAAACAAAGATGAAGAGAAAGTTTGAATTGTTAAAGAACTTAGAAAGATAATACTATGATGAGCACTAAGATCCCCTGGGATCTCTGGTCAACGTGTTCACATAGCAGATACTCATACTGATACTGATCACACAGATTTGTTTCCTTTTGAGGTTTGTAGATTTGTGTGAAAGAAAATAAAACACAGTAATTGTATAGCCCATAAAGTATTTACTGAAGGAAGTTTGATTTTTTAATGGATATGATATTTGAATTCATTGAAACAGATATACCCAGGGAATGAATTGAAACATGAACTGAGGCAGGTTCATTATCAGTTTTCTGGTTGAAAGAGTAGCAGAGTGATACGGTATCAATGCATCATTTGTATTTTTCTGTTACAGTAAATTAGATCTGAACACACTTACCAAGTTTCTATATATATATATATATGCACGCTATTGTACTGTTGTGTACTGGCAGCCCAGTAATTGTGATGGTACCTGCACTTTGTCAAGTACAGTAAAATTATCCCGACAACAAACATTATGAAGGCTTTGTTTTCGATTTTACGTGAAAAAAAAATGTAAATGCTTTTATATTTAGGTTTAGATAATCCTGAATCAAAGTTTGTGTTTTAAAGTGTATTGATTTGGAAGCATGAAATGACCTGTAAAGTCATTCTAGTGTTTCTGTGTATGGATTGTAATTTAAAAGATAAACAAATTTGAACCTGATAAAAATTCAGTGAAAAACACATAAATTAAGGATTTTCAGAAATTTACAATATTTCATGCAGGAAATTTCAATTAAAAAAAAAGACTATACTGTACCAGTATATATAATGTGGCTTGCATCAAACATTTTCCAAAAAAATGAGCAAAGTTTTTTGCCAAATTCATCCCATGTAGATTAAGGATAAGGCAACTAAGGGACTGAGTCCAGGGTTTGAGGGCGAGGGTTAAGAAAAGGTCAGATATAATGAGTGGATATACCTAGCTTTGTACAAGATAGCTAGGATTTGATGCTTAGATAGTGTATAAAAAGATAAACTCACATGCAGCATGTAACTTCAGATAAAATTTAATAAAAAAAATATCATACTTGCCGTTAAATAAATGATATGGTCAAATTGAAGTTTGCTTTGAACTTTACTGAACATTTTCTCAAAGACTACTGGACAATGTTCAACAAATCAACATATGTAGTGTACTGGTATAGCATTATTAATCCAACTATCTGTAACTTCTACAACTAGATTAGCTGAAATTTCTTAGGACTTCTAAAATAGCAGGCAATTTTAACTCGGAGTAAATATCACTTAAATAGTCATATGTGATTATGTTTGATCTAATTTTCCATCTGGTACTAATGGAGAATATTTATACACCTATGATTCTCATAACATCAGGAGTTTACTGCAAACAAGTATACAACACAGTTTGTGTGTGACTTTAAGAATTTAATATATATAAAAAAGAAAGTGGAGCTTTTGAGTTTGACAAAGACATTCCAATGCAAATGACTTTTGAACTGATAAATTACCTAGTTGTTCTGTTATCTCCCTTTTAATTGACATATATTAATAAAAAATGAAATCCAAGCCATGTGATCCTTAGGGATGTACTGAGGAACCTCTGTTATGTAACAGGACCTGAAATAGCTGTGTACAGGGGGATTTATCAGTTAAAGGACTGATTCACATTCAAGGTCACTCTGGTGTCTTGTATTGAACATTTTGAAATCACACCTTGTGAAGAATTGATAACAATCTTCACTATTATCTACAGGTTTTGTTTATCTTGACTAGTAGGAAATTTTGATCGTCTGTTTGGTTGTGTCTTCCCACCTTTTGTCGGTGTATACGGAGTGTGAACAGTAAAATCGGGAAACTTGTGTGTGTTCAGCAGCAACCTTATGAATTTGATATAGTCCTGTAATATAACCAGTGATTGTTTGAAAGCTGAAGTTGAAAGTTGAAAGCCTGACATTTTTTTTACCTTTTCAGACAGTTGACAAGAGTAAGAAGGTGTTACTGGTCATCTCTCTGTCAGGGATCAAGGTCTGCAGCAGCAATGGGGAGGTAAGTCTATTATGTTGTATATAAAAACTTACAGGACTTTGTGTGTTCTAATACAAAGGCAATGTCCTGTGTTTCCAGATTCACCCAAATGTATCCAGCTTTGTCACTCATCTTGTTTATTTAGAAGCAAGATAACACAACTGATGTATAAGTAAGATATATATTTTTGTTGATATTGGGAAGGTTTTCCAAGATGCCTAATTTTTAGACCATCAGACTTGTACATCCAAGTGACACTATTGAGCAAAGAGACATTTCTTGGACAACTAGACTCACTTTTTGGCAAAAACATATTCCTGGACAACAACAAGACTTACTATTTGGCAAAATGATATTCCTGGAACAGCAAGATTCTCTGTTGGACAAAAACACATTCCTGGGACAACAAGACTTACTATTGGGCAAAAACACATTCCTGGTACAACTAGACTTACTATTGGGCAAAAAAAATTCCTAGGACAATTAGACTTACTATTGGGCAAAAAGACATTCCTAGGACAAGAAGACTTACTAGTGGGCAAAAACACATTCCTGGGACATTTAGACTCATTATTGGGCGAAAACATATTCCTTGACAAGGAGACTTACCATTCGGCAAAAAAAACATTCCTAGGACAACTAGACTTACTATTGGACAAAAAGACATTCCTGGGACAACAAGACTTACTATTTTGGCAGAAAGACATTTCTGGAACAACTAGACTCACTATTGGACAAAAACACTTTCCTGGGACAACAAGACTTACCATTGGGCAAAAAGACATTCCTGGGACAACTAGGCTCACTATTGGGCAAAAACACATTCCTGGACAACTAGACTCACTATGGGGCAAAAACACATTCCTGGGACAAGTAGACTCAATATTGGACAAAAACACATTCTTGAGACAACTAGACTTACTATTGGGCAAAAACACATTCCTGGACAACTAGAATTACTACTGGGCAAAAACACATTCCTGGGACAACTAGACTCACTATTGGACAAAAACACATTCCTGAGACAAGAAGACTTACTATTGGGCAAAAAGACATTCCTGGGACAAGTAGACTCAATATTGGGCAAAAACACATTCCTTGACAACTAGACTTACTATTGGGCAAAAAGACATTCCTGGGACATGAAGACTTATTATTGGGCAAAAAGACATTCCTAGGACAAGAAGACTTACTATTGGGCAAAAACACATTCCTGGACAACTAGACTCACTATTGGGCAAAAACACATTCCTGGACAACTAGACTTACTACTGGGCAAAAAGACATTCCTGGGACAACTAGACTCACTATTGGACAAAAACACATTCCTGAGACAAGAAGACTTACTATTGGGCAAAAACACATTCCTGGACAACTAGACTCACTATTGGGCAAAAACACATTCCTGGACAACTAGACTCACTATTGGGCAAAAAGACATTCCTGGGACAACTAGACTCACTATTGGGCAAAAAGACATTCCTGGACAACTAGACTCACTATTGGGCAAAAAGACATTCCTAGGACAAGAAGACTTACTATTGGGCAAAAACACATTCCTGGGACAACTAGACTCACTATTGGGCAAAAACACATTCCTGGACAACTAGACTCACTATTGGGCAAAAAGACATTCCTGGGACAAGCAGACTTAATATTGGGCAAAAACACATTCCTTGACAACTAGACTTACTATTTTGGCAGAAAGACATTTCTGGAACAACTAGACTCACTATTGGACAAAAACACTTTCCTGGGACAACAAGACTTACCATTGGGCAAAAACACATTCCTGGGACAACTAGGCTCACTATTGGGCAAAAACACATTCCTGGACAACTAGACTCACTATTGGGCAAAAACACATTCCTGGGACAAGTAGACTCAATATTGGACAAAAACACATTCTTGAGACAACTAGACTTACTATTGGGCAAAAACACATTCCTGGACAACTAGACTCACTATTGGGCAAAAACACATTCCTGGACAACTAGACTTACTACTGGGCAAAAAGACATTCCTGGGACAACTAGACTCACTATTGGGCAAAAACACATTCCTGGACAACTAGACTCACTATTGGGCAAAAACACATTCCTGGGACAAGTAGACTCAATATTGGGCAAAAACACATTCCTTGACAACTAGACTTACTATTGGGCAAAAAGACATTCCTGGGACATGAAGACTTATTATAGGGCAAAAAGACATTCCTAGGACAAGAAGACTTACTATTGGGCAAAAACACATTCCTGGGACAACTAGACTCACTATTGGGCAAAAACACATTCCTGGACAACTAGACTCACTATTGGGCAAAAAGACATTCCTGGGACAAGCAGACTTAATATTGGGCAAAAACACATTCCTTGACAACTAGACTTACGATTGGGCAAAAAGACATTCCTGGGACAACAAGACTTACTATTTTGGCAGAAAGACATTTCTGGAACAACTAGACTCACTATTGGACAAAAACACTTTCCTGGGACAACAAGACTTACCATTGGGCAAAAAGACATTCCTGGGACAACTAGGCTCACTATTGGGCAAAAACACATTCCTGGACAACTAGACTCACTATGGGGCAAAAACACATTCCTGGGACAAGTAGACTCAATATTGGACAAAAACACATTCTTGAGACAACTAGACTTACTATTGGGCAAAAACACATTCCTGGACAACTAGACTCACTATTGGGCAAAAACACATTCCTGGACAACTAGACTTACTACTGGGCAAAAAGACATTCCTGGGACAACTAGACTCACTATTGGGCAAAAACACATTCCTGGACAACTAGACACATTCCTGGACAACTAGACTCACTATTGGGCAAAAAGACATTCCTGGGACAAGTAGACTCAATATTGGGCAAAAACACATTCCTTGACAACTAGACTTACTATTGGGCAAAAAGACATTCCTGGGACATGAAGACTTATTATTGGGCAAAAAGACATTCCTAGGACAAGAAGACTTACTATTGGGCAAAAACACTTTCCTGGGACAACTAGACTCACTATTGGGCAAAAACACATTCCTGGACAACTAGACTCACTATTGGGCAAAAAGACATTCCTGGACAACTAGACTTACTACTGGGCAAAAACACATTCCTGGGACAACTTCCTGGGACAACTAGACTCACTATTGGGCAAAAACACATTCCTGGACAACTAGACTCACTATTGGGCAAAAAGACATTCCTGGGACAAGAAGACTTAATATTGGGCAAAAACACATTCCTTGACAACTAGAATTACTATTGGGAAAAAACACATTCCTGGGACACCTAGACTCACTATTGGGCAAAAACACATTCCTGGACAACTAGACTCACTATTGGGCAAAAACACATTCCTGGACAACTAGACTTACTACTGGGCAAAAAGACATTCCTGGGACAACTAGACTCACTATTGGGCAAAAACACATTCCTGGACAACTAGACTCACTATTGGGCAAAAAGACATTCCTGGGACAAGTAGACTCAATATTGGGCAAAAACACATTCCTGGACAACTAGACTCACTATTGGGCAAAAACACATTCCTGGACAGCTAGACTCACTATTGGGCAAAAACACATTCCTGGACAACTAGACTTACTACTGGGCAAAAACACATTCCTGGACAACTAGACTCACTATTGGGCAAAAAGACATTCCTGGGACAAGTAGACTCAATATTGGGCAAAAACACATTCCTTGACAACTAGACTTACTATTGGGCAAAAAGACATTCCTGGGACAAGAAGACTTACTATTGGGCAAAAACACATTCCTGGGAGAAATAGACTCACTATTGGGCAAAAACACATTCCTGGACAACTAGACTCACTATTGGGCAAAAAGACATTCCTGGGACAAGCAGACTTAATATTGGGCAAAAACACATTCCTTGACAACTAGACTTACGATTGGGCAACAAGACATTCCTGGGACAAGAAGACTTACTATTGGGAAAAAGACATTCCTGGGACAAGAAGACTTACGATTGGGCAAAAGACATTCCTGGGACAAGAAGACTTACTATTGGGAAAAAGACATTCCTGGGACAAGAAGACTTACTATTGGGCAAAAACACATTCCTGGGACAACTAGACTCATTAATAGGACCTTGGAAACCAGACTTATTTTTGGATGCTTTCAGAAGGACATGTAGACTCCCTTTGTTATAACTGGACTTATTTGAAAACTAGATTCTTCTCTCGGGTCAAAAGACTGTTCTGGGGACATCCAGACTAATATAACAGACACAAGATTTATAAATCAATCACACTCATTATATTGGGACTGTAACATACTTATCATTGGAACTTAATTTGAGGTTTGTGACTGGAACATTCAGGATAATCAGGCTCAGTATAAAACTAGATTAATTGGCTCATTATTGTGATCACATTTGAAGAGGTCTCCTGTCAGCTGTTTCAGTAGTTTAACAACAGGTAGAAATGACAGACCTGTGGTATTCAGTTAAAATATTCAGTTTAAATGTTGACATTCAAAAAAATCTATAATATTGATTAGAACTGATTTGAATAACTTTCAAACAATGCTCTAGGTAAGTTTTGCCTGTCAATAACATACAGATTTATTGATTTTGCTGGACGGTACCACAGGACAAGTTGATGGGGATTTTGTTGTGATTACAGTCAGTTCTGTCTCCTGGTCCATAGAGTATAACAATAAATTCTACCTCATTGGATCACAGGATTTGTTATGTAACATGGAAAACCTACAATTTGAAGATAAAAGTCTGTCTTGTATGAAGGTAAAATCTACACATGTACCAGTAGCCTGGACAGATGGCGGACAATATTAACGTGATGTAGTACTCCATTAATTGGGGAAGAATTTTATGTTGTAAAAAGCATATCCCTTACTGTGTGCATCATTACGTAATTGTAAATTCCGCTATCAATCTTTATAAGAAACAGGCAGAACAGTTTTGAAGGAATTTTTATAAACGCTATATTTGTTTTAAACGCATTAACTTGTCATTGTAAGATGTTGCGATTGCTGGGAGCCAGATGTGTTTCCTGAATACATGTGTAAGCTTCTTTGAGGTAGTTAATAGGGTTATAAATACATCAATGTTTGAATGATACATACTGGACAGAGCTACACAGCGTAGGTGATGTCGGTATTGAAACAACGACAGAAAAATAAATTCCATATGTAACATCCGCCAACTAACAATGTGTATGCTAATTACAATAGAAACTGCGATAAAATGTGTCACATTTATCCTAAATAAAGCCACTATAAAATCATACCATGTTTTAAATCAATAAATCTATTTAAAACAACTACCGTAGTTATCCTGTAAAAACACGCAAAAAAGTTTTACGGTATAAAGTTGTACCGTATTTATTATGAATAAATATACCATAAAGTTGTACCAGATTTATCCTGAATAAATGTACAAAAAAGTTGTACCAGATTTATCCTGAATAAATGTACAATAAAGTTGTACCAGATTTATCCTGAATAAATATACCATAAAGTTGTACCAGATTTATCCTGAATAAATGTACAAAAAAGTTGTACCAGATTTATCCTGAATAAATATACCATAAAGTTGTACCAGATTTATCCTGAATAAATATACCATAAAGTTGTACCAGATTTATCCTGAATAAATGTACAAAAAAGTTGTACCAGATTTATCCTGAATAAATATACCATAAGTTGTACCAGATTTATCCTGAATAAATTTACCATAAAGTTGTACCAGATTTATCCTGAATAAATATACCATAAAGTTGTACCAGATTTATCCTGAATAAATATACCATAAAGTTGTACCAGATTTATCCTGAATAAATATACAATAAAGTTGTACCAGATTTATCCTGAATAAATATACCATAAAGTTGTACCAGATTTATCCTGAATAAATATACCATAAAGTTGTACCAGATTTATCCTGAATAAATATACCATAAAGTTGTACCAGATTTATCCTGAATAAATATACAATAAAGTTGTATTAGATTTATCCTGAATAAATATACCATAAAGTTGTACCAGATTTATCCTGAATAAATGTACCATAAAGTTGTACCGTTTTTATCCTGAATAAATATACCATAAAGTTGTACCAGATTTATCCTGAATAAATGTACCATAAGTTGTACCAGATTTATCCTGAATAAATATACCATAACGTTGTATTAGATTTATCCTGAATAAATATACCATAAAGTTGTACCAGATTTATCCTGAATAAATGTACCATAAAGTTGTACCAGATTTGTCCTGAATAAATATACCATAAAGTTGTACCAGATTTATCCTGAATAAATATACCATAAAGTGGTACCAGATTTATCCTGAATAAATATACAATAAAGTTGTACCAGATTTATCCTGAATAAATATACCATAAAGTTGTACCAGATTTATCCTGAATAAAGCCACAATAAAGTCATATTTATCCTGCATTAGACCAAAGCAATCTCAAAGAAAGGAGATTGACAGTTTACAGTGATCAGTACATGATATTTGGTCATATTACTACAGAAACTTTGTAATAATAGATTAAGATGGGGTCAATACCAAGCTTGGCCTTAATGTGAGATGAACATGGTATTGTGGAAACTACCTCCCAGAAATACTCTGTGTATGTTATCTTTATAATAAACCAATGCTGATTCAGGATGGTGTCGTATATACAAAAAGATTAGAATTGAGATTTCAGAAAAATGAAACGGACCTGTTAAGCTGTACCATGGTATCTTTGACACATGTATGACAGTCGTCAGTGGTTTGTGTTTGAAATGTGAGACTGCAAGATGACCTTTGTATATGATATAGGAGACACAAAGACTGACCCATGGTGACCTATACTGACCACAAATAATGTCCCTTGTCTAGTGTGATAGACCTGTGTGTGTTGACGTTGACCGAAATCTATCTTGTCTGTCCAAACATCAATGTCTAGAGACAGAAGCTGAAACAGATCAGATGTCTAGTTGTGGTGAGGCTTGACCACTTCAATCACCAACATGTCACAATTTTCTACTACATAAATGTTGTTTATATTGTCATATCCAAATGTTCTGTCAGATCTCAGGATCAGTATCCCGATATGTCACTATAAATCTTTGTTGGTTGTGTTCTTCGTTGGAAACATGTTTTATAGTTCCTTGGTTTCTCTCTCTCTTGATTTCTTGATATTGGTTTGGACTGTTTCATAGTTTTGATTACATGTATTTTCTGTTAGATTAAGTGGGGTCATTTACCTGTGACTGCTTGGAAGGAATGTGTGCCAGCTCCTGCTTAAAAAGAACCTTCAATAAATGTTCCCAAAAAATCATTCTAGATAGGTTTGCTGTATGATTTTCCTATTATTGAAAATAAATCAATTCTTGAGTTCGAAGAATTTTTTTGTGCGATTGTCAGCTAAATCTTACTGGATGTTGACAGTGATTGCTATTGTGTGTAGTTAAGTGTGATTATCCGGATCAGCACAAGTTCAAGGGATAAATTTACACATGGACCATTTAATTCAATTTAACCCCAGTAAATTTCATTTGTGCTATGGGGCAAGATGGTGCACTCATGACATTGGCCTGGTTCTCTGCACAGACACAATATCTGATGATTTAGTCCATTAGAGACCAGGCCTGACAATGGCAGAAATTGATAAAATCAGTTAGGTAGCATTCATATCTCTTTAGGGTGAAAACATCTAATCAAATAATAGAGGCCAGAGGTTGTTGGGAAGTCAGGACTTGTTGTACAGTGATAACAAGAGTTTTATTTGCACATTATGATCAACTGTAAATTCATGTTTTAGTTGGCCTTAAATTTCCTGATTGAGGAAAAAAAACCATGAATTTCTGTCAACTGAAATGGCGCTTTATTTTGTGGATAAATCTTGCTTCCCAAAAATTTTTAAAATCATGTAAATTTTTATCTGTTTATCAATTTAAGGACATGTAAATTTGTGGATCAAGGAGAAATCATGAAAATAAATCCCCCCCAAAAATTAACAATTTTGCAGTAGATGGATTTAAAGATTAGGTAGCTTATGAACTTGATATAGAACTTGGATCGAATTCAAATGTGAAAATTATTAGATAGAAGAAGAAAAAAAATGTATAGTTGGGGATTCAAAGTGATCACCCTTTGGAAGAAAATTAATCTTACATAACTAAGACTAAATTTGCAGAGTGACTTTGACATTTTGACAAATGCTCATATGTAGGTGACCCAAATTGATCATGGATGATTGTGATTGGTTAATTATTCAAGCAGAAAGTCAATTAAATATCCACCCATTAATTAACTCCATTAAACCCATTGATTCATAGGATGATACTTTTTTGATATCATTGCAAGACTGGAATGAAATATTATCATGAATAAGAGATAAATGTCTTGCCAGTGTGTTGAGAAGTGATACCACTAAATCTGTGATAGACATAAACTTTGATAATAACTCCTAAGATTTGACCTCAGTTTGAAGACAACATATCTGTCAGTGTCACAGTCAAACTTTACTGTAGCACCTTCCATGTCTACAGAAAATGAAAAACTAAGACATCTTAGTATATTTGAATGAAATTTTTAGTGTGTTATACTTCTGATAGAAACTTTGTGCTTCTATATTCTGGTCTGTGGAGGACAGGTAAAAGAGCTGCTGTTCTATAGTAATCACTCTAAATAGTTGGAGAGAGCTTATGATTGTGTTGATAAAGATGTTACAAGAGTGTGCAATGTTCAGGATTGTAAACTTGAAGAATGACAACAGCTGTTGATAGGATGTCAAACAAAGTTCAACCAAACCAAAACCTCGACTAACCTAGAACAGGTTTTTAGGGGCAGAATATTCACAATACAAGTGTGATTTACATTTTTCATTGCGTTTTCAAAGCCTGTGACCTTGATCTCTCTAGAGTAATCATACAATGTGATTTAAGTATATCTGATATTTTAGAGTAAATATGTGTGACCTTGATATGATTTGTGGACATCACATGTGACCTTGACCTTTCCAAAATGTAAACAATCATTTGACCTTTTCCTTTCCCTTTCCAGAGTGTGTACATGGCCCATGCCCTGAAGCGAATTTCCTATGCAACATGTGACCCAGACCACTGTCAGTTTTCCTTCCTGGCTAGAGAACCGAAGGGACATATCAATATCCAGTTCTGTCATGCCTTCATCACCACCACATCAGAAGAGGTAAGTATTCTCACCTTAGGAACACCTCAATAGTTCTGTAGTGCATCACCAACACATCAGATGAGGTAGATATTATCACCTTAGGAACACATCAATAGTTCTGTCGTGCATCACCAACACATCAGATGAGGTAGATATTTTCACCTTAGGAACACATCAATAGTTCTGTCGTGCATCACCAACACATCAGATGAGGTAGATATTATCACCTTAGGAACACATCAATAGTTCTGTCGTGCATCACCAACACATCAGATGAGGTAGATATTTTCACCTTAGGAACACATCAATAGTTCTGTCGTGCATCACCAACACATCAGATGAGGTAGATATTATCACCTTAGGAACACATCAATAGTTCTGTCGTGCATCACCAACACATCAGATGAGGTAGATATTTTCACCTTAGGAACACATCAATAGTTCTGTCGTGCATCACCAACACATCAGATGAGGTAGATATTATCACCTTAGGAACACATCAATAGTTCTGTCGTGCATCACCAACACATCAGATGAGGTAGATATTATCACCTTAGGAACACATCAATAGTTCTGTCGTGCATCACCAACACATCAGATGAGGTAGATATTATCACCTTAGGAACACATCTATATCCTGTTCTGTCATATCTCGATATCTTCATCCTTGGCTCCTCTCTTCAGGTATGCAGTCCTGCCTTTTTACCATATCATTATGAAATAAGAAGGACATTTGTATCTAATTGCAATGGAAATTTTAGTAGTGTTGGGGTCTGTAACAACTTGGTTGGTAAATTATCAGACCAACACAGGTGAAGGTCAAAGGTGTGCATATGGTTTGATCCTATTTCAATGCTGGTTATGTTTCTCTGGAAGCTGAAATCATGAATAGTCCAGCAATGTCATAGTTACATCCTCTGGCAGAATAGTCCAGCAATGTCATAGTTACATCCTCTGGCAGAATAGTCCAGCAATGTCATAGTTACATCCTCTGGCAAGACACTTTACCTTGACTGTCATGGATAATGTTAAGCAGGGCCTTCTGCATGATGTTCAGTGTGGAAGTCAACAGCTATTACATGGAGAATGCCTAATGAAACAAAATAGCATTGGTGATCAGTTTACATGTACATTATAAACTGAACATTGTGGAGTACATGCACCTAGATATGATATCTATGACAAATATGATAATTCAGTCTCTGAATGACAGAAACAGATCTCCCTGATCCCCTTCTCTGAATCCCCTCCCCTTTGATCCCCTCCCCTCTGATCCCATCCCCTCCAATCCCCTCCCATCTGATCCCCTTTCTTCCGAACCCCTCCCCTCTGAACCCCTTTCCTCTTATCCCCTCCTTCTGATCCCATTCCCTCTGATCCCCTCCCCTCTTATCCCCTCTCCTCTGAACCCCCTCCCCTCTGATCCCCTCCCCTCTGAACCCCCCCCCCTCTGATCCCCTCCCCTCTGAACCCCCTCCCCGCTGATCACATTCCCTCTGATCCCATTCTCTCTGAACCCCCTCCCCTCTGATCCCCTCCCCTCTGAACCCCCCCCCTCTGATCCCCTCCCCTCTGAACCCCCTCCCCGCTGATCACATTCCCTCTGATCCCATTCTCTCTGAACCCCCTTTCCTCTGAACCAGTATATATATGTAATGAAAGAGGTGAAACGCAACAGACTAGGAATCCAACAGATGACCTCTGAAGTGTTAAAAGATGCTTTTACCATGCAGGCAAGCCTTTATATGGCTCTGCTATCAAATAACCCAAGTTGTGGTGTCATGTGATTCTCATGGTGAGACTTTGTGATCTGGTCAGCTGGGTCACCAAACAGCATAAAAGTAGGTTACTGCCAGGTATGTTAAGAGTGTTAATTGGAAATTGAGACTCAAACGAAAAGTACAGGAATTAGGTTAAAGAGGAAATCAATTAAAATGAATGTGTTTGTATCTGTCTGTGACCGGTATTATGAAGTTTGTTGTGGTGGTTAACCAGCCATTTAAAGAGAGATATGCAACTGATGTATTTGTGTAGTTGTCAGTTACTATGGCTGTCTTGTTTAGTCTGCATGCATTTTTATTATATGGTTTCGTTCGTGCCTTTAGCTTCCAGACCTCCCCCATTTTTTTTAGAAGTCTCCTTTCTCTGTCTATCTGTGTGCCTCCTATCTATATCTGTCTGTATGTCTCCTGTCTGTGTGTCTGTGTGCCTCCTATTCTTTGTGTCTGTGTATCTCCTTTCTGTGTCTATCTATGTGCCTCCTATCTGTATCTGTCTGTATGTCTCCAGTCTGTGTCTCTCTGTTATTGTTTCTTTTCTATGTCTCTCTGCTAATGTTTCCTTTCTGTGTCTATCTGTGTGTCTCCTGTCTCTGTCTGCCTGTGTGTCTCCTGTCTCCATGTGTCTGTGTGTCTCCTGTCTGTGTGTCTGTGTGTCTCCTGTCTGTGTGTCTGCGTGTCTCCTGTCTGTGTGTCTGTGTGTCTCCTGTCTGTGTGTGTCTGCGTGTCTCCTGTCTGTGTGTCTGCGTGTCTCCTGTCTGTGTGTCTGTGTATTTCCTTTCTGTGTCTATCTGTGTGTCTCCTGTCTGTCTGCCTGTGTTTCTCCTGTCTGTCTGCCTGTGTGTCTCCTGTCTCAGTGTGTCTGTGTGTCTCCTGTGTCTCCTGTCTGTGTGTTTCCTTTCTGTGTCTATCTGTGTGTCTTCTATCTGTATCTGTATGTATGTCTCCTGTATATATGTTTATGTTTTCTGTCTCTGTCTGCCTGTGTGTCTCCTCTCTGTATCTGTATGTGTGTCTCCTGTCTATATGTTTTCTGTCTCTGTCTGCCTGTGTGTCTCCTGTCTCTGTCTGTCTGTGTTTTTATGGTATCTCTTTTTGTGTCACAGGCCTAGTATGTATGTATTATCTGTATGTTATTGTTTCTAGCTGTGTCTATCTGTATGTCTCTTGTCTGTGTCTGTTTTCGTGTTTCCTGTCTGTATCTGGCACTCGTATCTGTCTGTGTGTCTGCTGTCTGCTGTCTGTGTCAGTATGTGTGTCTCCTGCCTGTGTCTGTCTTTGTCTCTTGTCTTTGTCTATGTGTCTCCTGTCTGTGCTGTCTTTGTCTCCTGTTTTTGTCTGTGTGTCTCCTGTCTGTGTCTTTGTATGCCTCAGCTGAAGCATCTGTTTGTATCTAATGTCTATTTATTGGAGGCTGTAGTGGTATCTGTTTCAATCAAAACCATGCTCCATGATGTTGATATTGTCAACACATGTTTTGATAAAAGTTTGTCACCAAACTGTCAGCTAAATTTGACCTGAAATGACCCTGTTCTAGTTGTCAGTTCATATCTGAATACAATGCATGTGTTGGACATTTTTGGGCTCCAGGTCGTTCTGTTGCTCTTCCTTGGGAAGGTGGTAAGAGAGATGAATTGGTATACACAACTACAGTTGAATATTAGATGCTTTCCAGTGGCATGTTATTGTTTCAAGTTTGTATATTATTTTTGTAGGAAGAAATGTCTGGTTAAAAAGTGAAACATCTTGTTTCCACATTTTGAAGTAAAGCTTGAATGTTACATAGTCTCTGTGTTATTTACACTCTTGGAGATAACTCATGGTCAGGGGATATGTGGAATGATCTGCAACTGCAGTGAGCATTAGCAAATGGGTTGCAAATAGAATTAACTGGAATCTGAATTGTAAAAAAAAAAAGTATAAAATCCAAGGTCCTGGCTAATCTATTCAGCACATCTATTCATTACTCTGTTCCCCAATGCTATCTGTATCGTGAAGGAAGTCTTTGAGAACATTGAGGTAGGGAAGAGAGGTCACCTAAACCTAGGATGCCTTTATAGCTCATTACACTTAAAACTCCCCTATGTTTTAGAAACCATTTAATTCAATGCATCCCCCATGTTTATAACTGGGAGGAAATACAGGGCAACAGTACATTTCATTTTGTACAAGTATTTATTTGTCCCTTGTGATCGAGTCTCACCAAATTTCATTATTTGCTGACGTCAGTTTTAAAGTCAATCTCCATCTCACAGTCTGATGCATGCTACCGTGTTCTGAAATGCACAAGGAAGATGAACTCCAACCTCAACAGACATAATAATTATCTAGCCTTTACATAGGGAGGTTCAATGTTTTAATTATTTTCTTCAGACTGTAGTATAATGAATAATAGATCTGGTTGATGAAACTTTGTTTTACTTTTCTATCTTCTATTAGAAATGAGACTATCACAGTATTAGATCACATGGTATATATATTTGATTGTGTGTTTTTTATCTACATTGATCAATTTTGTCTCTGATCTTGCCAAAAAATATTTTATAAAAACCCATTCAAATATCTGACTGTGGTCAAGATTCAAGCTTCATATTTAAGATATTACATATATTAAACTATATACCCTTTGGCAGGATTTTTTTTCTCGGATGCTCTTGATAAAATGCAGCTACAGCGATCCTGTGAGGTTGTCACTTACTTTTACATGGAGATCTCATCTCAGAATGCTCCTGGCTGTTCTTGGGCCAGTTAAGTCTGCAAACAAACAAGTTTAATCTTTAGATTACATAATGGTTCACTGCCGGTGGAATATTATCTGTTAATGTCAACAAATCATACAAAATGGATAATCAATGTTCTAAAATTATGTATTTGATATTTTCTGGCTGTAAAGCCCATTTATATTGGAGATTTAGAATAAAAGACATAAATTTTAGTGCTTAGTGCATCCTTAATACAAGTTATGATAAAGTGTCCAATTTTACAGTTAATACATATCTATGTCTAACAATATACATTTTACCAGTATCATTTTCATTGTGTTAGAGTTATCTCCCTTCCTGATCTTCTTCAATTTAAATGATAATTAGACTTGTGAGTTATGGTATAAAGGGAAACTTTCATTACAGTTAAACAGTTTCACCCTTTTTATATTAGAATAAATATATAAAGTAATTAAAAGTTTACTTTGAAAGCTGAATATACAATATCATGTATTTAGGGCAAATTTAACACTGGGTGAAAATAAACGAAATTAACCCTTGTTAAATTTCCCCATATACAGCATATTAGAAACACATCGTAGTATAGTTATATCCTATCAGGATATCATGTCTGCTTTACTTGTTACAGTGCTGATAATGTATTTTGAAGTGATCTGTATTTAGTTCTATTTTAATGCGGAGAATTACTTATAATTTATTTTGACCATATAATAATTCTCTGTTTAATTTACAAACTAGCCATTTTGGCTAATCAACCTTATCATAATTAAAAGGCACTTCTCATGTTCTGTCTTTTGTAAAGATGGTAAAATATTACAGTAAGGTAGCATACATCTTTAAGTCTTTCATGTACGATCAGACTTATTACTTAAAGTGGTAGTGTATTATTACAGTATATTGTATCAAATTGGTTGTAAGTAGTGTTTCATTTTGGCTTCTTACTGGTAAAATATGAAGACTAATGACTTTTCAAACAGTGTTTTGTACCTGTTGATTGAAATTATAAAAGATAGCAAAAGAATCTAAGATGGGGTAATGCCACATGTCAAAAAGGTGGTTACTTCTTAGGATTGCTCACATCCACATTTACAGTAGTTAGCATTTTTGTTAAATCACAAAAATTGAAAAATAAAGCAAAAAAATTCATGTCAATTCAGCTTTTTGATTCAATTAATTTAATAAGTAATATCTTTTTAATGTTAATTCTACATAACATAATTAAAAGGCATAAATCTCAAGGTTTGCTATTTATATAATCCACTTATTAACATTAAGACCTCTCCCTGAATAAAATCAGAAGTTGATATTGATAAGACGGTTGACTTCCTCTAGAAGTTTAGGTAACTTTTGTCAAGCTAGTTATGGACATTTGATTGAGTGACCGAGTGAGATCATCATCCTCCCCCACACTGCCTGTCAGTCCAGCCCTCCAGCTACCTGTGGTACCTGGTCGTTTGTCATTAGTCCAGGTAGTATAGCAGTGGTACAGGTGTCAGTTTATGACAAGTCTTGCAGGACCAGGTACACGGATTTCTTTATGTGTTCCAAAGTTTCCTGTGTGACCAGTATCAGATGGTATGTAATCTCTCATATCTCTTTATATCTTCTCCAACAGTTCCAAAAGTTTTATGGTAATCTATTTCAATCCATACTCTTTATTTATAAAAGGAAAAAATCTATTTAGGGAATATTGTTGAAGTTTAGATGCTGATTGAGTGTCTGTATTCTATAGATGTATAGAGAAATAGAGAATAGAACAGGTGATTATCATGCTATCAGATACCCAGAACAGCTTTATGTCCTCAATTATCTAGTCATTAATTTGTCAATGCATTGTTGGAACAACTTGTCGCTGCAAACTAATTTATAAATCACTAAGAACCGGGCCTTTATCAAAGTAATGACTTGTAATAATTAGAATGATGATCTGGAAGTTGTTATCAGTGGATGGCTGGTGTGGATGTAGACTTGCTTCTGTCAGTAAGGAAGCTGCTGAGACCAGAATATTAATTCTTTTAATTTGTGACAAGTGTGCCCCACTTGACCACAAGTACCAGTTGCTGTGGGTACTTACCAGCTTGAGGTTCATACTGCAGGTTGTCAGGGTTACAATCTAAGGTCACCAAACATTGACCTTACACTGGTCCTTTGTTTTACAGTGTTGTGGTTTGTAGGAAGTGAAGTGTGTGTATTGGTGAGCCTTAATTCCTAGGGTTTAGATCATATCCAGTCTCCTTCCTGTCTGTACCAGATGTTTGATCAGTAAGACACACAGCATCATCTGTTTTACACACTGGTCTCTTTCTGTACAATAGTCATTGGTACAGTGTAATGATTGTCTCCCTTGGAAATGTGAAGACTGAGTGTACATATCTTCAGTACTAGTTTTCATATCCTTTAACTCTGATGTAAGGACATACACGGTCACAATTGTTATCTAAATTCCACAGGATCATGAAAAAAATTGAGTTTTTTCTCGGTATCCAAGCTTATCATAACTAAAATAGAGAGAGACACACATGGAGAGTGACCTTTAGGGGTATTGGAGTTATCAAGGTTCGATAAAACAAAGTTTGACTATCAAAGTTTGAGATAACAAAGTTTGATTATATGTTTTTTCTGAAAATTTTGTCCAACTTTTTTGACATATGCTCTGTTAATTTGAGGATGTCCCTGATGAGTGTGATTGACAAAGTATTGTTTACAAGATGTTGGTACATAAGGAAGATCCTAACAGGAAATGTAATATTTTAGTCATAAATAGTTTATAAAGGTTCTAGCCAGTTTCTTAATCTAAAGAAAAAATTTCCCTTATATATATGAGGAATGACTCTTCACTCCCTCTTCCTTCAAGGAATTTTTTAGGAAAATCAACAATGACATCATGAATTTGAAAAATTAATGAAGTTGGTTTCCAAATTTTCAGGTTTTAAAAGGAACATTTTGTGAGTTTGACATTTTCTATCAAGTTTAACTGCTTTCTGAATTACCAGTTTCCTGTCTAGTGTACATGCTCTACAGAGAACAGATATGACTTGACCTTGGGTTTTCCATAATCAAACAGTAATAGATGTGAATGTATGTACATAGTTGATGAAATATGTTGATGACCTCTATAGATTAGTCCCAAGGTCACTACACTTGGGTTGATATATCAAAAAAGTATTTATGGTAAAGTTGTTTATCACTAGTAATAATGACATCAGGCCTAGGGACCTCCTTACACAATGGTCCATCATTACTGTAACAATGACCTCTACCTGTCCTTCACTATTAAGTCTAGCTAACCAGTAGTGATCACTCTATCATCTCTAACAATGAGCTCGTTACCTGTCTGTCTCTTAAGTCAAACGAGTATGATCTATGACTTGTCCTATGTTTGATGTGTGACATAATGTGTTTTACATCAACAAATAAATAAAAGATATAATGGTTAAAGGGTTTGCCTTCAGGCCTTTACGCTGGTGATCAATAGATGGTCAGAATAGTGTTTACCTGCATAGTATAACCATGGTCAAATTCTTGTTAAACTACATTGTGTACCCAAGGTCAATTCATTGTAAAGCTGCACTGCATATTCAAGGTCAAGAATCTCTTAACCTGCACTTTTTATCTCTTTGAAGGTAATTGTTTTATTTACCTACATTGTATATTCAAGGT